TAATCATATTTCTTTGTTCATGTACATAAATGTAGTCATGAGTGTACCCCGTACCCAATATGCTTGTGGGGATACCACATACTCAGCGCAGCCCCAGCAGCAATATGTATTAAGGTAGGTTTCAGAATAGTCTTTCCAGAAGGCTAAAGATTTTTTTTTTACAATATGGGGAGGGGGGAATAAAAAAATGGAAGACTAAAAAGGAAGACTAGAAAGTAAGACCTATAACTTACACAAGGACAAAAGTGAAGGCAAATAACCTCGATCGGAATTTGAACTCCACTCACCAATTACATTTCAACAATTGCACCTCCATCGTCAGGTACAGAGTCACGAATGAAGATCGAACTCAATACCAAATTCTTCAATCACTGCTTTACGGTCAGTTCTCAGAATGAAAAAATATTGATCATTTATCAATTTTTAAATTCTATAAAATATCAAGAACAAAAGAAATGATATTTACTTATTTTTATTAATTTTTCACCTATACAAGCCCCGAAAGCCACTTAAGGTAGAAGGTTACTGAATGAAGTTGTATGAACGTAAGATGAGGCGGTAAGAAATGCCATTTATGATATGTAAAAAATATAACTGTTAACCTTAAACTTGAAGAGATTAAGATTGGGGAGTAGATCCCGAGAGGATGATCCCTCGATCAATACAAAGCATCGGTTACTGGTTTGGTTTGGTTTATTTTTACGGCATATTAAACTCAATGGATTATTTAATGCCGACAAGATTTTTATTGCTGGCAATATTTTTTTTCCTTCAAAAATGTATTGCTAGTAATAAAACCTATTTTTACACTTTCATGTTTTGACCTGTTTAGTGGAGGGTCAACTATTTGCTCATAGCTGGGTCCCTAACAAGTGTAAACACCCAGGTTCAGAGTGGACCTGGGAACACCAGCAATTAAGAGGTGGTTCCACGCTCCTCAAAACCTCTTGATCAGTGGCCTTGCTGTCGGATGTAGTTTATCGTCTTACCCAGGACGGGCATCGGTTATTGTCAAGAAGCTTTCAGAATAGAACGTTCTTCTTACTAACGGAAATGATTCGGATCCGTGTAGGTGGCATGGCGGGTCTTAACAGTGAGGGTCAGAGTTGTTGAAACTCGGAAATGTAGCTCGTCAGAGCATTTGTTCAATGAGTTCATATCCTCAGTTAATGTCTGCCAAAAACTATACTTTTTCTATGCAGAGTACATAGGCAGTGGTCTGCGACACTAACCTAGAGCCAGGCACTCTTTATCATCGATACTGCTATAGTCTCTGTAGCCAAACGAAACTCAGTACATAAGGGAATTCTGACAGACACAGACATTAGCATTGGTGGTCTTCCGTAGACTAATGCTTAACAGTGAATAGATTTTCCTTATCTGTCTATATAATGCTAAAAGTCTGTGATTGCGTAGTGCAGCGTATGTCCGGCGCATAATGGTTTAAGTTAATCTGATTTAATTGAATAAGATTTAAAAATACGAGTTGTTTATACAGTAAGTGTTTTTATTTTAACTTTCTTCAAATAAAAATATTTTAATTAAGCTAAAGACAAACACAAAGAGATCCCGCTTTGCTGTTTCGTCCAGTTGTTTGTACAGTAGTTATTTATATTTTAGCTTTCTTTAAACAAACAATAGTTTAATCTAAAAAAAAAAAAAAAAAAAATATTTTTGGTATTTTAAAATAAATTTTCAAGTGAATATGATTTTAAAATAATTTTTGGTATATTAAAAAATATTTTTAAGTTAATCTGATTTTAAAGTTAAGTTTATCCCGAACGTTTTATTCCTGTTAAATGCTGTCAACAATCAGTAAAAAGTTAAACATGAACTTGACAACCAGACCAATGATGACACGAACGAATTGAAATATTTAACTAAATCATAAGAAAATTAACTTTCTTTTCAATGGAATGTTGGGTTGGGTTCAAATTTTTTTTTTTTTTTTTTTTACGATATATCAATCTGAATGGGTCATTTAATGCCGACAATTTTTATTGCTGGTAGTATTTTGTTTTGTCAAAAATCTATTTCTGGAAATATTTTTTTCCTCAAAAATGAATAGCTGGTAATATTTAAAAAACGTATTGCTTGTATTTTTTTAAAATATATTGCCGGTAATATTTTTTTCTTTCAAAAATTTCTCTCTGGTAATATTTTTTTACAAAGTATTTCTGGTATTAAAACCTATTTTTACACTTTCATAATGCTTTTTACCTCAGTACCTGTTAGGGTCCCAGCTATGGGCAAATAGTTAACCCCCAGACTATCACTTTCGTTCAGGATGGACCTGGTAATACCAGCAATTAAGAAGTGGTTCCACGCTCCTCAAAACCTCCTGATCAGAGGCCTTGCTGTTGGATGTAGTTTATTGTCTTATCAAAGACACGGGTGTAGTTTATCATCCTACCCAGGACGGTCAATGGAATGTTGAAAATCAACTTAAATATTTTATAACTTGAAGCGTCAGTGACCCAACGGGTCACGGGTAATCTAGTTTATAATAAAGGCAGCCTGGCGGACAAACGATTTACGGTAAGAATCGCTATTCAAATAGATTGTGTAAAAAAAGTTCAGGATGTCCTTAGGGCATCACTATTGTAGATCTTTGATTTCGTTTGTTTTATGGCATATCAACCTCACTAGGTTATTTAATGCCGACAAGTTTTTACTGCTGCTATTTTTTTTTTCAAACATGTATTGCTGGTGAAATTTTTTCCAAAAATGTATTACTGGTATTAAAACCTATTTTTATACTTTCATAGTGTTTTGACTCCTTTTGAGTGGGGGGGTTACCTATTTGCCCATAGCTGGGACCCTGACAGGTGCTACCCTCAGGGCCAGGGAGGAGGACCTTGGAAAACCAGCAATTAAGACGTGGTTCCACGCTCCTCAAAACCTAATCAGAGGCCTTGATGTCGGATGTAGTTTATCGTCATACCCAGGACAGTCTCCGTGTTACGTCTGAGGCCCTTTGAGAAGATAAATGGAGGCATAACGTCGCCATTACTAGTGATCACTCCAAACACCTTCGTAATCACTATTAGTCTCTTTGGCACTGTCCTCAAATTGACACCTAAGCAATGTGAAATGTTCGTATTTGAGTTTCCTGGGCGAATTCCATCATGGTGCTCTTTTTCACACAGCCTCTTCCCAACTGATCCTGCTATACAGTGCTGTCGACAAAATCAAAGTCAAACACGCATGTTTTCAGTGATAATTATTTTTTTTTATTTGGTACTATTCATTGAATTATATATGATCTTAAAAGGGTGTCAATTTCATAATGTCTCTAACCAAGTACTTTATATTTTGAGCTACCTTTACTAGAATGAAAAAAAAAAAACGTGTTATAACCTTTCTTGTCCAACAAATATTTACTGGCAACATGTGCAATTGCAAAGGGCATAAACTCTGAATATAAAAGATGTCAATTTTTAATTTCTCCCACTCTATTCAAACCCGTTGAAAAGATCCACAGAATTAAAACAGTACTACCAGAGTACAGTACGTACAGCCCAACAACTTTACGATATCTCTTTGAATTTGCAGCAGCTATCATTCTGGTTTCCGAAGATGACATAGATTAACACTTTTCATTTCAGTTGTTTACAACATCATGTGCGTATGTACATTCTGTTAAAACTTTTCCAAACAAGAAAATGACCAATTTAAATCCTATTATAATTGTACTTTAGTTCACAGGCTTGTTACGCCCTGACAATAACTCATAAATAATGGACTATGTCGTTTTGATCGCGTGGAAAGAGGGGAGAAGTCACTACTTGGTTTCAGTGAGAAAAAGAATGAAAAAGAAAAAAGTAACAGAGAGAGAGAGAGAGAATCAAATTAAGCTTATGAGAACAGATACTACACTTTGATCTTAGCCAAAAGACCGCGAATATCGAACGAGAGAAAACGAGTTAGGCAATCGCCAAAAGATCAGTTACCATAAATAAAATAGCCTCGTTTACCGAATTATTATTAAAGTGTTATTAAGAGACATGTTCGTAAGACGGTTTGGTTTGGTTTATTTTACGGCAACGTCAATGGGTTATTTAATGTCGACAAAATTTTTATTGTTGGTAATATATTTTTTTTTCAAAAATCTATTTCTGGTAATATTTTTTTCTTGAAAAAATTATTTCTGGTAATAATTTTTTTACAAAGTATTTCAACTATTAAAACCTATTTTTACACTTTCATAGTGTTTTGACTCCAGTTTGGGGGTTAATTATTTGCCCATAACTGGGACCCTAACAGGTGCTACCACCCCGAGTCAGGGAGGACCTGAGAACACCAGCAATTAAGAGGTAGTTCCACGCTCCTTAAAACCTCTTGATCAGTGGGCTTACTCTTGGACGTTGTTAATCGTCCTACCAAGGACGATCGTAAGACGGGTATTTGGCTAGTCCGATTATAATAGTGCTTGTCCCTCTCTTCGTTAGCTCGCACGACCTTGACGCCTTGCCAATACCTCATAAATAATGGACTATTCCATTTTGATAGAAAATGAAAGAAAGTAGTGTCTTTCCCCTCTTTCCGACTGAAACCAAGAAAAATAGAATTGCTTAACAGCTGTTTCAGTGAAATGAAAAACGTTGTCCGTTTCAAATCTTTTCATTTGTACCCACTTCTTAAAATAACGCAATAACAACCATAATTATGAATGCTGGTCAATATTTTGTTGAAGTTGTTAAGCCCAAATATTTACGGACGAGATAGGGGAATTTCTCCGGATATGTTATAGAACTCACCATGAGCTTATTCAATCACTAACTTAATTAAAATTCATCAGTAAATTCAAATAGGAAAAAACCTCTTCATTAGAACAGAAAAGTTATCACAACATAATGTACGCACATACATTCTGTTAAAACTTGTTTCAAACAAGAAAACAACCAATTTAAATCCTATTATAATTGTACTTGTCCTTTAGTTCACAGGTCTTTCTAGTTAATGTTTTTTTTGTTTGTTTTTTTTTTTTTTTTTGACAGGGTTACTGCACATGGAGCAGCGTTGGTGGCCGGAAGGTGGTGCTGCAACCTACAAATATTTTAAACTTTTCAAAGACCTCAGAACAAACCGCTCTTCAGCAAGTGGCACTATCCAAGGTGCAGGACACACTTCAAGGTTGTTCAGTTGTCATCCCAAAAGGTAAGTCATTTTTTTTTGTTCACCTTTGTCAAGATTCCAAATAATAAAATAGTAATAAAAAAATATTTATGTAGGAGAGAAACAACGCTAAGTTTTTATGGATGCTTAACATCACTTACCTTCGTCACATATTTTTCAGGTCTTGGGGATTTACCTCTGTGTGGGACAGAGGTTACTTACAATTGCCACTGCTGTTGTTGTCAAACAAAATTCAACTAACTTTAATTAATTTAAAAAGCTTCAACTTTAAATAACCCATAAAGGGTTATAACAGTAAAATAAAAATAAAAACGATTTCTTTTACGAATGAATATTAATTAATAATTTGGGGGATAAATATAAATTATATAATCATTTTTTCCAGGTATTTGTATCAGAATAAGTGGGACAGATTTACTTTAAAACTGTTCCATCTATAACCAGTAGACTGGTTTGGTTTATTTTGCTTTTACGGCATACCAACACCTCAATGGGTTATTTAATGGCGACAAGATTATACGATAGATTCGCCTGAATAGAATACTTCTTTGTAAGAAATCAGTTTGTAGATCAGGTTTCGTTGACATATTTTTGTAAAGATATGTTTTTGTCGAGAGTCTCGTTTCATTGATGTATTCTTGTCAAATACAGTTTGTAGAAAAATTGATTTTATTGACATTCTCATTAAGGTTTATATTTTTTGGTATAGACCCACTGTTTCAAGAAATAATATTATGTCGTCCAGTTTTGCTTTCTCGGAGAGCACATGTTGCTTATATTATTGTATTTTTGTCTTGAGAAAGCAAGGTCTGATCATTCAGTTAATACATGTCTAATGGTGTATACCTTTTCACATACTTGGCATACTAGTGGATCTTCGTTGTTTACGAGTGGATTATTCTTGTGTGACCAATACACAAACAGGTCAGTATTACTACTACTACTACTACCTTTCGGGATTTTCTGAAAGCTGACTTTCATTCTCCTCGTTTGCCCTAAATTGCGAAGGGTTTATTGTGTGGGTAATCCTCCCAGCACCCGTCTAGAAGGAAAAATCTGAATTCAAAACTGTATGTAGCCCTGGGTAAGCATATATTACGCAGTTAAGGAATCGATCGGTCGCAATAATTCGATGATCCAAACTACAGTCGATTCCTTTAGTAAGAATCAAACTCGATCATTAAGTACTTGAGGAAATTTAGATACAGGGTGAAATTTTCTAATTTTACAGGAATATATTGCTACATTTTTTTTTTTTAATTTCACCCCAGGAAAAGGAGACTCCGGTGGTTTGTCCATGCTTTTCGTCGACAACTGGGCGAATTCATCCGTGAGGCGATTGCTCCCGACATTCACAGGGTTGGCAGTTTGGTTTGTTTTACGGCATATCAACCTCAATGGGTTATTTAATTCCGACAAGATTTTTATTGTTGATATTTTTTCGAAAAATTTATTGCTGGTAATATTTTCTCAAAAATATATTGCTGGTATTAAAACTTATTTTTACACTTTCATAGTGTTTTCACCCCAGTTTGGAGGGGTCAACTATTTGCCCATAGTTGGGACCCTAACAGGTGCTGCCACCCTGAGAACATCAGCAATTAAGAGGTGGTTCCGCGCTCCTCAAAACCTCCTGATCAGAGTCCTTGCTGTTGGACGTAGTTTATCGTCTTACCCAACACGGCACAGGGTTGGCGGAAGCGTCGTGATAGACAGCTAAAAACCGTGACCCAAGACGTTTAAAGAGGACGTCGAACTGTCCTTGGGTCATAGCGTGTTCAAGAATCGCCGTTGGAATCGTGATTCGTTAGCTCTTACCGACTCAACTGCATCCTACCACTGGGCTTGGTCAGCTTTCATTCAGGGTGTGGCAAATTTGTTTGACGGAGCCAAAAAAAAAAAAGCAAGGCGATAAAGCAAGTAAAGCACAAAAAGTAAGACTGAAAGAAACTACTAAATGTTGGGACCAAGAGGACATTAATAGATCAGGATCCATGAAAACAGATGAAGATAATTTCAATTTTTAAAGTTCGAATTTGACAGGAAATTAAGCCGGAAACGAGTTCCACAAACGAGAAGTGCGAGAGAAGAAATTGTTAAAATAAAACTCACAGTTTGGTTTGGTTTATAGCATATCGACCTCAATGGGTTATTTAATGCCGACAATATTTTTATTGATGGTAATATTTTTTTCAAAAATGTATTGGTGGTATTAAAACCTATTTTTAAATTTTCATATTGTTTTGACCCCAGTTTGGTGGTTAACTATTTGTCCATAGCTGGGTTTGGTTTGTTTTACGGCATATCAACCTCAATGCGTTATTTAATGCCGACAAAATTGTTATTGCTGGTAATATTTTGTTTTGTCAAAAAAATATTTTTCCTTTGTCTAAAAAAGTTTTTTTTTGGTTTATTGATGGTATTATTTTTTTACAAAGTATTTCTGGTATTAAAACCTATTTTTACACTTTAATAGCGTTTTTATCCCCGTTTTGCGGTTATGTATTTGCCCTTAGCTGGGACCCTGGTTACCACCCCGGGCCAGGTTTTGATTTGTTTTTTATCAACCTCAATGAGTTATTTAATACCGACAAAAAATTTTATTGGTGGTAATATTTTTTCAAAAAAAAAAAAAAAAAAATGTATAGCTGGTAATTTTTTTTTTTTTTTTTTAAATGCATTGCTGGTAATGTATTTCTTGTAATATCTTTTACAAAAAAAAAGTATTTCTGGTATTAAAACCTATTTTTACACTTTCATAGTGTTTTGACCCCCGTTTAGGGATTAACTATTTTCCTATAGATGGGACCCTAACACTTGCTACCACCCCGGATCAGTGTGGTCCTGTTTGTTTTGGGTTTTATGGCATATCAACCACTGTGGGTTATTTAATGCCAAATCCAGTTTTTATATATATATATATATATATATATATATATATATATATATATATATATATATATATATATATGAATTTTAAATGCCTATTTTGTATGGAACATTTTTTTTGAAGCTAGAGCTTATTTGCTTGCACACTGCAAAATAATCCTAGGTATTTTTGTTTAAGTCAAGAATTTCCATTTGATAAGGACAATTTATTTGCAAAATGATTAAAGGTAGGATATGTTGTTTATACATCAGTCTATATCTTTGATAAGAGACCAATTCTTTTTAGAAAATCCAATATATTTTTTGTTTCAGTTTTTGTAAATAATTTCATGTTCTTAGTGTTATAGAAATTTCTACGGATGTGTGTGAGGTTTGTACATTCTATTAGTATATGTTTTACAGTGTATTGTTTTCCACGGGAAAATTTAGGAGGAGGTTCTTGTTTTAGTACGAAAGAGTGACTCAGTCTTGTGGGTCCAATGCGTAGTCGGCCAATGGTGGTTTGTTCTTTTGTTTTAAAATTCAGTTGCCTTTCCTTTAGAATTGGTGCTAGTGTGGACCTGGGAACATCAATTACTTACTAATATATTCCTTTATGATAATATGATGCGTACTGGCTTCGACCAATGCGTCCTGATAGCATTGCGGAATATCGCATTACTAAGGGAGATCAGGTTGCGTGACCGATAAGTTTGTGTTTTATATTATAGAATAAATAGCGTTCGTTTCCCCACTTCTTCTCTGGAAAATTTCTCAGAAAGTTGTTTGTTTGGAAGCATCTTTGTTATATATGACAACGGCTGGCTTTTTGAAGTTATCATTTCGTAAAAAATAATGAGTTGTGAAGACATTTTCAAGTGTTGCTTTACTAGAAACTATTTCTTCCGGCTGTCGACTGTTTACTGAAAATTAACATCGTGACCTATCAGAGATCGACCTTCCCCTCGTCCGCCCCATTTATATTCTGCAACATATAACGAAGACAGCCACGATCTTTCGACATCGTCAAGATGCGCTGCAGGGAAAATTCCTGAGCCATCTTTTGCCTTGCTGACGTCATTAACACCATCAGATGGCAGAACGAAGTCACGTTGTACCAGAGCCATCATTTACTTAGCCAAACATCAGAACAGTGTGGAATTGCAATCACTAGCTAGATTGTGTCGATAGTTGTGACCGTTCCACTAGCTATAGAGTTTTTACTCTGGTACAAACGTAACGTTATATTTCTTTTTCTTTAAAGGTAAAACATTTTTGATAGAATATTTGAAATTTGAATTAAGTTCGATCATGGGTTGGTTGATTTTATTATGTCAGCACCTTTTCGGTTATTCAAATTATGATTTTAAAGGCTAAATTTTAAACTATCGTATATATTCGCGTATCGTGACAGTTTTACTCAAAATATAGGGGGTCGCACTATACACAGGTAATTTTTTTTGAAGGAATAAGAATTCATGCCAAAAAAAATTCAGGTGTGTCACAATACAAGACGGCTTAAACAAGTATATATGGTATTAATTACCTTAAAAACAAAAAGAACCATATATATATATATATATATATATATATATATATATATATATATATATATATATATGCAGGTGAAAGAATTTTGGGACAAAATAATAATGAAACTGATAATTATTGCATATTCGTAGACCTTTTCATCAAATGGAAGCATGTTAATTGGTTTGGTTAATTTTGTTTTACGGCATATCAACCTCAGTGGGTTATTTAATGCCGACAATTTTTATTATTGGTAATATTTTTTCAAAAATCTATTTCTGTTAATAATTTTCCTTCAAAAATGTATATCTAGTAATATTTTTTTTTCACAAAGATTTATAGCTGACAATTTCTTTTCCAAAAACTGTATTGCTGGTAATAATTCCTTTCAAAAGGTTTTACTGGTATTAAAACCTATTTTTACACGTTTTGACAGCGGTTGTTTGGGGGGGGGGTAACTATTTGCCCATAGCTGGGACCCTAACAGATGCTACCACCCCGGGTTAGGGTGAACCTGGGAACACCAGCAATTAAGAGGTGGTTCCACGCTCCTGATCAGGGGCCTTGCTGTTGACCGTCTTGCCCAGGACGAGAGATCTTAAAAATTGGAAATTTCAGACACG